AAAATTCAACTTGTGAATCGAAAATCCAGAATGCCTCGACTATTTAGTGGGGATTTAAGATGGAGAATGGTATTTCAGCGTTTGTTTTATGACAGAACCTTCGAGGAAACACGTGATATTTCTTTTTGTCTAAATGTCTAAATGTGTAGTTGTGTAAATGTCTAAATGTCTTTTTTCGATAGACAACGTTAATGTTATTGACTGTATATATAATTATGCAATTGTTATTGATTATTGAGTAAGAATTTCTTATACATCTGTTTGAAGGACGAATAAGGAAGACTTTTGATTGATTTGGGTATTGTTTCTCAGATTTTAGAAATGCTAAAATTACATGTAAATTTGCCATAATGATAAGCATCATGTTCGTGCATGGGAGTAGAATAATTCTCTACTTTCACATCCCCATAATGCCTTGCGTTTGAGAGGTAACCAATCAAAAAACTGTCCCAAGTTGAAAGGTTTCTTAATTGAATTTATATTATACCTGATTTTATCTGTACTGATTATCAGTTTTGCGTGTACAGATCATCAAGAGTTTTGGTCTTACAGAAAATGTATTGACCTACGAAACTTTTTTTAAAATTTACCTTAAACGTCTTCAAGCTACCTTTTTCTGCTTTTTACTTCTTCATTTTATTTTTGGATACCAAACAAGGTATTGTCAACATTGTCTGATCAGCCTTCAGCAAAATAAGTGGGTTTTTACCCTCTGGTTATCCCCCAAAGACGCAAAGGATTATGGGGATGCGAAAGTAGAGAATACAGCAAAAAGTATTACCAAATTTTTTAGAACTCTAGAAACAGCGACCAGTCACCAGTTATTGTAGGATAAGCATTTGCTGAAAAAGTGTTTGACAACTAGACATATCATTTCAGATATACAGAGTAAAAATATTCTATATTCTTATTTCCTTTACCATTCTGCCCCCTTTTGTGCAATTATACCTCTTATACCAGAGTCAGTCTTATTTTGATTGCAAAGGGCGGGCATGTTTATATTTTTCCCTGGTCAAATGAGATCTCATTTTTGTGGGGCGTCTTTTCTACCTCACTATTTCACCTCAGCTGGACCAATGATGGTATAATAGTACTGGTAAACAAGGACAAATGATTTACAGTCAAACCAGCTCATGCGTTTGCATTTACTTTCTCATTTCAAATAAGTTCATGATCATAAAGTATTCGTATATATTGTATATATTGGTCGTATTGATGTTGCAGCTGGTCAGAAATTCTATAAGTGCCAGACAGTGTACAAGCTGTTAATATTGTGACGAGAGACATCATTGATTTGAGGCGGATTTCACACACACACACACACACACACACACACACACACACACACACACAAACGAAAGCTCGCACGGCGATAAGTAGTATCATTTATTAGTCTAGTTGATGCAAAGCTTTTTTTCTTGATAATTAAAATCGTTCAATCTCAAGGTCAAGTTGTTCAATGAGGGACTATAATCAGACAACCAATCAGATGGAGGTTTGTAGTTAATTTGATTCCGAAGCACCTAGCAGGGTTCTCAATCAATCAATGTCCTCTCCACCAATCAGGTGTCAGAATTATGTCTTTAGAGTTGGAAGTGAACACTTGATGACAGAAAACTATAACGGAACCAGACTTGCATAATTTTGGCCTGAAATTGAAAAACCGTAATCAAAAAAACCTCCCCCAATCGTTTTTTATTTGAATAAACCTCCTCCTTTAAGAACAAGCCTTTAATTATAAAAACGTATGTAGCCTGAGACTCAAGACTGTTCCAAAGCTAGGCTTTGAAAACCACATCAGATAAAAAGGCGAGGAATATTTCGAGTTGAAAATTGACCAGAGGTAAGTCTAAAAAGTAGCTTTTCGACTTCAGGTATCAAAAAAAACAAAAATCAAAAAAAAMCTCCAAGCCGTTGTTGAACAAATATTGCAGGAAAGCAGATGTTTTAGAGACACCTTTATCTAAATAAATTGGTTGTTTATCATTGGCGAAACATCGTCAAAAGAATATCCAAAAAGTAAGAATTAAACAAATAAATTATTATGTATCTCAAGAAATACATCCCATGTGAAATATCGGGAAATTTAAAAATCTTTTCCAAGCCTTTAAAGGATCTTTTTTACTTCCGCCATAAACTGCTTGCTTTATCGCGAAAAAGACTGAATGCCTTAGGAAGACATTGATTATTTGATGAATATTCGTAAAAGGAAAATACTGTACAAGATTTCGAAAATCAAATACCTTAAGCCTATATCATGTCAAATTGAATTTGCTATCATAGCAAGAATCGGAGTCAAAACCCGAACATTTTGCTAACATAATGAAGTGTTTTTACACGATATTATCAAAGCGAAATCAAAGAAAGAGTTTAGTTTTACATTTTTAATGAAGATTAAGAATTAATAATGAAAAATCTAGACATTTAGAAGTGCTGGTGTACAAGGTTTTAGATCATGTAAAAATGAAGTATCTAGCTTGAAGGAATTTTGTGTTTTTAGAAATTAGACGTTGCTAGATATATATTTATTCTATTCAGAAGAAACTTAATATTGAATTTATATGGAAAATTAGGCTTCAAAATAGAACTTAAAATTCAGACAAAATTTATTGGTTTCGTATAAAGTGCTGTTATAAACTTCTAAACAGAATTTGACGATTTCAAGTTCTCGTTTTCTCAAAACTACATTTAAAAATGATAACGAAAATAATAATATGCYAAAAAGAATAAAAGCGGCTGTGCTTCCAATCAATATGCCCTTAAGAAAATTTAAAAACACAACATTTAATTTGAGGAAATAAAGTTAGTAAGTTATGAGTTTGGGCGGGGAGTAGGTGCTTGATGTATTGGAATAGTTTATTACGAAAATACAATTATTGGATTATTATATATATAATAGRTTTTGAAGTATATGACAAGAATATTGTCCCTCGATAATACTACATTTTCGATTGTGAGTGGCCTGATCCCTGAATCTATCTTACATTGATTTTTTTCGTATTTTTTCTATTCTGTACTTCGATAGGTTTTCTAAGGCGTCTTTCTACAAAAATGAATCAAAACGTTTAGCTTTCACCCCATAGCAAACGCCGATTAATAGCGACAATTACACTGCCCGACGTCTCGTGAGATTTTCACAGATTGATTAAATTCGAATTTATTAGTGGAAACTTGAAGATCTAATATCAAGAGTAAATATTGTACGGCCAGCCATGACAGCCATTTTCAATTTCACTCAAATTCGACAGTGGTTTGTGTGTATGATAACATTTTATGGTTTTGCCGTGTTTTACAAGATTTCAAGGACAGAATTGTATTTGAAATTGCTAGAATTCAAACCTTGGAAACGAATATSGTGAGCAATTTGTTTAGAGTTCGTTAGGATTTTTTCGCAAGGAATTTTGAAAAGGAAATCTTGACAATTATTAATTTCTGTTTTCCTTCCTTCCGCACTTTTTAATGCACAGCGAGAAAAAATATAAAAGAATTAGCGATTTAACCCGTGAAATTGTTAAACCGAAATAGGACGTTTGCATGATGGCGTCATTGACCTCTACTACCAGACTCCCTTAATTGCAAACTTTCTTTTGTTCAGTTAATTAGCACCAATTGTCTTACTATTCTCATGAGGGAATACAAATTTAAATAAGAAAGAAAATTCGCGAAGCATTATGGTAGTAGCGTCCTATTAGGCGGAAAAAATCAATAATATACCTTTTTCTTCTAAATAATAAATACCGCTGTGTCTTATGACTAAATACTCATTTTCGTTTAAGAACATATCATTTAAAGAAGTCAACTGTAATGTAAAAACTGTGCAACTTATCGGTGTTTTACTGTTAAAGTGCTACTCTGACGAAAATCGCTCAAACTTGGATTCAGCTAAAACTTCCTAAGAATACTCTTTAAAGGTCCAATAATCACTGTATGAAGTGT